ATATCATATATATATATATATATATATATATAATATATATATATATACATTTATTTATATAAAAAAAAGTTTATACAAGGGTGAGGCCCTAAACAATAAAAAATATGCACCTCAAAAATTCACTAGCACAGGTTGTTTCGGTGCTGAAAAACCCTCAATTTGATCATCTTGACCTTGAGATGTATGGATATGAGAAAAAACTAGATTTCAAGTCTTGGAAATAGTGCATCTTGTAATGTATTGTCTAGACCATCAATTTCCAAGATGTTCAAGTGTTCATAGATCTGCTCGATTTGAACATTTTTTAATCTTTAAATTTTATAACTAGAGATGAAAATAAATTTTCAGGCCATCATAAAGATTTTTGATGCAGAAACAACATGTTTCGGCACTATTTGAAGGTGTGCATTACTTTGATTGGTTATATATATATATATATCAACCCGCGCCTAGGCTCGATTCCTGAACAATGCTCCCAAGTGCTCAAGGTATCTATTAATTCCTTTTCGGTGGAAAATTAGTAACTTGTTTTTATTTCATAATCAATAAAGTAGTTGGGAACTTTTTTCCTCAAAGCAGAGATAGGATTAGGTGAAACAAATGCTTCATTAGGGTTTTCACGAGCCCTATACAGAATAATCTGCAATCGAGAAGCATCTGTTGCCATGTGGTAATTACAGCCAAGCATTTTTCTCTTATGTGGGCATATCAGATTTTTCACCTCTAAATAGCGTATTTAGTTCAAGAACAACTTTTTAGTATCATGGTTTGGGGAATATCAGTGATCACTTTCTGTCATTCACGATTTTAATAAATCTTTGCCAAGCACTACATAGGAGTGTTTAAATGAATGCGCAATCAGGTTCTTGTTCACTTCCATTGGTTGTAGGTGAAATTTCTGATGCATTTAGAATGAAGAAGATAGGTTACTAAAGACATGGATAGAAGACTTAACACTGTTTTCTGGTGATGAATGTGCTAATGGAGTTGTGCTTGTTTACTTGGCTATCTTATGACTTTTTATGCCAAATGCTGTAGATTCTTTCAATCTATTGGTGAACAGCGGGGCATCGGCAGGCCAGGTGATATTTCATGTGAGGTCTCTTCTCTACCTATCTTGAATTTTTTTTTTTTGTTTTTTGGTTGGACCACCTGTTTTATATGAATTGCAGAAACTGTTTTCGTAGCACTTAGTATATCGTTTGCATTTCAGACACATCTTCACATAATCCCCAGGAGGGCTCATGATCAGTTGTGGAAATCAGAGGTAAATTTGGAAAATTTAGTACTTACAGAGTTTATGCATTCTTAAAAATGTTTTGGTGGGTCGAACCATCAACAAGTTGCCCCTTTTTCTTTAATAAATTCATCAACTTGTTTTTGAGTTTTTTTGAGTTGCCATGCGTATGTTACCTTTAAAATTTGAATGCATTGAAATCCTCTATGCTCACTGCTAAACTGCAACTCTAGACTTTTAGAAGACGACCTCTAAAATCGGACGGAGACACTGCACTACTTGCAGATAGCATTCGGGGACAGCTAGCTCACTTGATTGACAAACCCGACTTGGTAACAGAAAAATAATCCTCCAAACCTGCCGGAAGATGGAATTAAAAACTCTCATTTTGTATTGTAAATCTAATGTGAATTCATTTCATTCCTTTGGAGAAAAATGAATAGCTTTTACATTATCATTTATTTATTTAGTGCATGAAAGCTTGAGGAAGAGGCTATTAGTATCTCTGCATTGTATGTATTGGTAAAAGAAGATCAATAATTCCAAAATTCATTGTACTGCATTCTGTATCTCCAGCTTTGTGTGCTCACTCTCATTGAATTAGCGTTGGTAGAGCATACACTAATGTGCACACATGCATGTGCTAGAAATGAATACATTATGACATTTAAGTCATACTCTTTGATTATATTCAGTCAGCACTCTTATCCGACTCAGTCCTACCCCCTATGTAATGAAACAATGTGGCTCTATATTCTTCCTGAATGCTGGCACTGCCTAGATAATATGTGGAGAAAAATTTTATGCAAACACTTTCCAAGGTTAACATGTCTAACATCTTTGACGTCCATTATCTGCTTCTTTTAATGTGGTGTGGTTCCAATGAGAGTAGCATTCATCCACAAAGTTATTCTAGCATGTCTGTATATTCCGACGAGATCTCCAAGAATGAGCAATGGCTAAATTACTTAAATGTGGTGGCAAGAGAACCATATGAGCCATGTGCCTTGTTTCTAGCCAAAACGAAAGTTAGTTCTTTTAATTTTTTCTTCTAAGAAATGCTTAATTACCCAACTGCCCTCATCATGTTTGCATAGAAGCTAATACCATTGCCGATGACATGGCTTAGAAAGAGTTTCTTTGGTCTCTTTGATTGTTTCTCATTCTTTATTTAAGTTTTCATTGTAATCTCTTTTTATCTTAATAAAATCTGTTACTCTTGTCAAAAAAAAAATTACCCAACTGCCCCCACACTCGTAAGCATTTTTCAAACCTAGTGTTAGACAATATGAGCCTCAAAATCAACTATGTATAAAAACAACTTGCAAAAATTCACGATTGATTTTGAACTCATTCAATCCCTTCAAGGCTTTCTTCTAACACAACTGAGTGATTCATTTATAGCTCTTTCACACACTGTTCTGTTCTTGAAATGCGACATAAGTTGGAAGTCACCTTATTAACATGTTACTTTTTGCTCCATATGTAGCTCTTCCAGGATGGATAGGGTCATGTTGCCAATAATCATAGAGATTGCCTGCTGCAAAGTTTGAAGTTGAAAAACGAATGAAATTTTCAAACTCCAATATTATCATATGGTAATGAAGATCAATGTTGCAATCAAACAGGAATCAAACCCATGACAACAAAGAAATCAACTGGAAAATAGTGAAAATTAGCAAAAACTCTGTACTCAGGCGTAGAAAAACTCTTGCTATTGGAAATTAGAAATTTTGTTCTCATGAAGTCAATTCCTTACTTCTAATTGTGGCCCAACAAAATACCAGGTCTCACCATACCTCAAAATCTACTTTCAGTGGGATTTCTTTTTGGACTCACATACTTCAAGTCTTTGCTATTTATAGTCTAAAATAACTTCATATCATTAATGAAACAAAGGCAAAAATGGTTCAAGTAAATGGAGGAGGGATCTCAACAATGTGTGATATAGATAATAAAAAATAGTGAAAATGAAGAGGGTTACCTTAAATACATGAGAATGTCCCACAACAATGTTACTTATGACAGAATGTTTCTTCTCATCTTCATCAATTCTTCTACCCCTGTCCTCTTCATTTGCATTGCTATTATTATTGAAAATTTTGGGAGCAGTGGGCAATGAACTCAATACCTTTCTAAAATGGGCTGTTTTGGGAAATGGTGAGAAGAGAGGATAGATCTTTCTCTGAGTAGAGGACAATATAAGTGTATTTTAGTTTGATAGACTTCCATGAAGTCTATTCAATAATGTAATATGCTTTCCTATTTTTGTGATGGTAATATCATTGTCTCGATTTTTTTCTTCTTCTTTTTTTTTTTTTTTGTAGTTTTTAACTCGAATCTCATTGATCTTTCAAAAATGTATACATAAATTTTGGTGCCATACAAATCTGGGTTCGGTTTGTACAAACTCTCTCAAAAATGAAAACCATGTTAGAGACAATCCGTAGTAATCTCTCCTTTGGAAAGGGAGAACGCCACAATATTTGACTCTTTCCACATGTCTAAACCCTACTTCCATGGATCTTGTTATTTCTTGTTATTGCATCTTTCAGTGAGGTTTGGAGGTGTGCTTTTCTTTTATTGTTTAAGCTTGAATCCTTGTACAAGCTGCACCCAAAGATAAATAACTACGGCCTTTCTTCAATAGCCGTGAAATTGATTAGTAGTATACTCTTGGCTCAATGGTTAGACTTAGTGGTAAGTTTAAAGTTTAAATTTAAGTAAAACTGCACAAAAAAAAAAAAAAAATACAAGATAAAAACAAAAAACAAAACAAAAAAGGGAGGCTATTATAGCTCCCAATGCAAATGACATTAACATACATTGGAAATTAGATGAATATGGCTAAGCCAATGCGACTTGTATTGGAAAGTCTAGCTCAACAGTTTATTTTTGTCTAAATTACATAAAAATGGATACATATAAATATCTAACATGAATACGAGTGCTAGGAACACTGAGGGCCAAATTAGCGTTTTAGACCTGATAAAGGCATAATGCATCTTGTATTGTTTAAAGGTAGGGGTGGGATATTAAATAACATTAAGTAACATTAAGTTTAGACATGATAAAGGCATAATGCATCTTGTATTGTTTAAAGGTATGGGGGGATATTAAATAACATTAAGTACTGTGATGGTGAGATTTCAAGACAAAAGGTTAAAGTGCAATATTAGTTTCTAACGTGTCACACACGAGTGTCATATCTTCAAGATGTCAACGCGTGTCTGTCCATGTTACATAGGCCTTTCTTAATGATCTTACCAAAAGTTTCATGATGTTGTAAATTTGTAAGTGGAAAAGGTGAGAATGAGGTAAAAAGAGTAAAGAGTAAAGGATGATGGAAATAATAGAATAGCGAAATATTATGGGAACATGGATGCTAGTTCAAATGGGGTTTTCTCAAGAGAGGAATAGGATGACTTGTTTCACCCACGATTGCCACCATTAACATATCAAAAAAAAAAAAAGGAAAAAAAGGTATGTCTTCATTTCTCGACCATCTGTTCTAGCAAATGGAGGTCTCCCAGTATGAACTAGGTTTGAAAGGCCCCAGGCTTAGGACACAAACCTTCCCATACAAAGCTCTCTTTTTTGCTTACAACCAGCGTTTTAAAAAACGCCGAGTCGAGCCAGGCTCCCCCGGTTCGACTCGGAATTCGCGAAAAGGGACCGGATCTGTTGAAAAATCAGAAATCGTTCGGTTCTAGAGAGAACCGGACGATTCTGCACAGTGACTCGCCGATTCACTGTACGGAATCGGCGAGTCCGAACAGTGAATCGGCGAGTCGTTTACGGTTTTTTTTTTTTTTTTTTTTTTTTTTTTGTTGAATCCGTGATAGTATTTTTTTGTAATACTTGATCGATTT